ACAAACGGCAGCGCAAGGTTATCAGACTTTGAGTCTGCCTTTACCAAACGGATGAAAAGGTCGCTGGACAGCTATGTCCAGAGGAAACACAATGCTCAACTTAACGGAGAGCCAAGTGGCAAGTCGACTGCTGTTTTTCAAGTTCTATTTCTGGCTTTTAGAATACACTCCTGGACCGTCAGCTGCTTGCCAGCCTCCGTCGACAAAGTAAACACCCCTAATAACAATTCTGTCCAGAATCTGCGCTGGAAAATCTACATTCGTTTTTTTAACCGGACAGAACTCCCCCTTTATTTACAACTAACCCATACCCCACCCCCATCCGTTTGTCCTCCTTCCATCACCCCGATATTGGTTAACCTTAAGCAGGACAAAAGGAAGTCTTGGTTTTTTTTTAAAAATAGCTTTTTATTTAAAAAAGTTATTAGTAATATTAATCCCTAAAAAGGCCAAATAAAAATGTAATATTTAATATGTACCATTGGCCCAATCTAGGGTGGCGTTGAGGGACAGGCCGGCCCAGGGGATGATTGGTTTCTTTCATTGTCTGAAGTCAAAGAAGACGATATTAATTGCAGTGTCAATTGAAACGTAGAATGCCAGCAGAATAGTGGTGCAGAAACACGAATTAAGGGATAAAGCGTCATAAAGACGTCACTAGAATCTAGTTATGTTTTTAACGTTGATTAACTTGCCATCGACAGCTAATGACCCTTCCGGCGGTGTTGTTCTAATTATACTTCCTTATTTCTGAAGTGACGTAAATTGTGTTACTGTTCCGACGGTTGGCGGTAGTGGACTATTGGAGTGTTCTTTGCTAAAAGAACATTCGGATGGATTTGGTAATATGCGCCATTCCGCCTGCAGCTCCCCCAACCTACGTACTACCTGTTGCAGCGGCTGCGATGACTTTCTAAGCATGCGTTTAAGTTTGCCTAAGTAGCTTTCGAAGGGAAACTAAGAGAAGTTATCAATCGGACCATCTCCTGTGTAAAGTAGGAAATGCCGAAGTTCCGATCCTTTCCAGGTGTCTACTTCACTAAGAGACCTCGCGCGCTGCGAACATTGACGCGGCAGATCTGAATTCAGACCTCTTAATCTATTGTTCACTGTACTTACTGTTGCTGTTGACAGCCGGAAGGCCTTTTCCCGTGGACTTTTCAGCCGCAACTTCAACAGCCCTCTCATAACGCCTAGGTATACCAAATGAAGAGGATCCAGAGGGAAGGAGCTAACCGTGTCAATGTAATCACCCCTTACACAACACCCTTCGCAGCCGTAGTAGACATTGACATTTTTAATTTGTTTTATGAAGGCTCTAGCGAGGGCATCACAAATTACGACGCCCAGTTTGAAGCGTCGTGTTCGGTTGATATCATCGACACGTATATTAAACCTACCCAGAGATAGCAACTCTGTAGTCAACGGTCCGCAGAACGACTGCACTTCTGAGGACTTACCAAAGCCGTAATAAATACCAACAACGAGTATTTCACCAATAAACGGTGTCATGATTCTACCTATGATACGCCAAAATTCACACTTGGTTTTCTTATGTAAAGGTAGTCCGTCAATAGGGAAATAAGCAGATACCACATGGCCAGTTATCTTCAGCGAAGAGACACTTAACCGGTTAGTTAGCTGTCTTACAAGTCCAAAATGGACGTACTCATCACTGCCCATTGCCGTCATCGTTGCCCCATTGCTTGCCCCGCCTAGCAACGTTCGCGCGTCCGAGGGAAGATCCGGGGACAGCCTTCTCAGAATTTTCAGACGACTGGTCAGATGGGCCAGCGGAATGTGAGAACGAACTCCTCACGACTGCAGTTCCACTTTTACGGTTGGTTCCGATGCTTCTAAAGAGGCCTCTAGATGATTTTCACTTGAATGCGTCCATGTAGATTCATCTAATTTAATGCACGGAGGCATCTGAGGGAAACAAACTTCTTCGTCAAAAGATTAAGTCATCGTGTAGGTGTAGGAACTGGAGGATAAGATACTATTCCACGAGGATGACGCTGAGTCGGACAGATACCTTTTCCTCATATTCTCTGCAATGGCTTGAAAACGTGCGCAAAGGCCACGCTGAACACGTCTTCTGAGGATTTGTTTCGATATTTTCGCCAACATTCTACGATAAAAAAAGAAAACAGGGTTATGAAAACAGAGAATATGTGCAGGGTCAATGGACAACGAGAGAGCAATAACCGCATGCGCGCAGCAGCGCGGGCGAGCAGGAAATGGCGTAACAGAACGCTCGCGCGAAAGCAAGCGCGTCATCTAATCGATTTACCAATTATCAAGCGCTCAGTCATCTGCGTAGTTAGCGACGCCAGGCTCCTGGGCCGCGAAAGCCAACCAAAATACAGCAATGAGCAAATGCCGACAGTCTAAATTAGAGTCCGATTTCATTGCTATTACGGACGGAAGGTAAGCAGCAAAGCGGTGTACATATTTAATTACTTTACATTTAAATAAAATTATTCCATGACAGCCGTCTCCACACTACCTACAGTAAATGGGGAAGGAAACAAAGTTTGCGAATAGGAATGATTTGGGTTAGAAAGGGGTATTGGTCTAAGCAAACGATTTCAAGCGTACCGTAGTACGCCCCAATTAGCTGTCTGCAGAGTATCTTAACTATCCGAAATCTAATAGATATTTACATTGGCGAAAAATAGATATCTACTCGATATAGTTTGCTACTAGCGTTGGTAAACTCATTCAGGCATAGTAGGTATTTTAAGTACAGTTATACACAGTGAGGGTACAATGGAGTAATTTGTTAATTTTACGGAAACGCTTTACAGTATACGTGCAGGGATGCGCTACACATGAAATGAAATCAGAAGGTTAAGTCGATGACTGGCCATAAATAGTCCTGCAGTGAGTCGTCGGTTGTCAAAAATCAAACAACCCAACATTCTTTTGAATATAACCATAGTACCAAAAGTCATCGTGTGGTTTAGAAGTGCGTTCCATTGCCGGACTGCCTGACGACTGAAAAAAACTTCCTCTGATCTAGGCGCCTACATTCGCGTTTGACCTTGTACGGATGACCGCGGAGGTGACCCATGCTCGCAAACTCGAAGAAAACTTAAGATTTGAGCGATCAGTTATGACCGCGGATAATGCGGGATGTCCACAACAGGCTGCAACTCATTTGTCATTAGGATAGGGGGAACAAGTTCATCTTGATCGGTCTTTCAGGATATGAGAGAGAGAGAGGAATGCTTTATTTTGAAAATAACTTTCAAAACTTTTAGCAAAAACGGTTCTCCAGTACACAGCGATTACCATAGAGATAAACAGGTATTGAACAAGTGGACATAATTATATATGAAGAAAAAAAGGACTCTAAGGTGCAAGATCGAGTTTTAGTTTTTGTTTTTCAACATCTTTGCAGGTGAGATACCGGGCTAGAAATGGCAGTATGGAATTCTGATAGGCCGAAGTGCGACAAGGGATGTGGCGGAAGCATCGACGCATGGGGCGTAAGGATTTCGCAGCCATTAACTCATTATGAAGGGGATGGACGGTGTCATTCAGAATTCGGTCTGCAAATTGCTCCACCGAGTTGAAATGTCGCTGCACGATGATATCAACTAAAATATGATAGGAAACACCAGCAGCAGAAGCGAGCATTCGAATGACACGTTTAAAAATAATTAGATCTTTTTTAAGTTAAGCTGGAAAAATAATCGGAGAACAATAAAGAATGAGCGGAAGAATACAGCCATCTATGAATCGCCAGATTAAGGACTGGGGTGTGTGATATGAACGTAGACGACGAATGTAATAAACAAGTTTTTGAATTTTTGTTAAAAGGGTTTCCATATGAACAGAGAAAGGGAGATTTGCGGATAAAGTAACACCTAGGTACCGGAAAGAAGATACCTCATTGGGAAGAAAATCCAAAGATTCAGGAATGGGAGAGGGTCGCAATGGAAACACACACTGTACTGATTTCAGATTGTTGAGTAGGAGTCCATTATTCGAAGACCATGCGGAGACGTGATCTAAGCCATCCTTTAAAGACTGCAAATGAGTCAGGTTTTTGAGGGGTGGCCTACGACCATGTCATCGGCATACTTAACATACAGGCAGTCGCTTGGCGATCTCAAATCATCAGTATGTAGGGAGAAAAGATGAGGGGATAAAATGGAACCTTGTAGAACTCCATAATTATTTGGAAGAATAGAAGATTTTCGCTTTCCCGACTGGACAAACTGAGTGCGGGAGGAAAAATAATCTCTAAGCCAAGAGACAACCCAGCTCGGAGTGTCGCACGCAGCTGCTTTGGTCAGGAGGAGTTGGCGCGGAATAGTGTTGAAGGCGGATGAGTAGTCGAGAAAAGCACATGCATATGCACGGAATTCCTTGTCTAAGTCTCTCAAAGCTGAATGAACAACTAAAGCAACAGCATCCAAGGTGCTACGCTTTGCCTTGTATGCAAATTGTAGAGGATCAGAAAAATTAACGGAGGAGTACTTAAGGGAATCTAATGCAACTTGTTCAGTAAGTTTCAGGAGTGCAGAAGAGCAGGCAATAGGACGGAAAGATTTAGGAGCAAAAGTTAAAGATTTTTTAGGGATTGGAGTAATTCTTACTGTACGCCAGGCGTCAGGAATCTTGGACTCTATGAAGGATAGATTAATAAGGTGGGTCAAGACGGGAGCTATCTGCAAACAGCAAGACTTAAGGAGAAAAGGCGAGACACCGTCCGGCCCAGCCGCCGTTGACCCGCGAATCTTTTTGAGATGGTGTTCCACTGTTGTCACAGTCACAGGAGTAAAGTCACATGGTGGTAGGTAAATTTCGTTTGGGCGAGAAGGGGAGTCGTTAGAAGTACAGATAAAATTCCGATTTAAAGAGTTTAAATCTACGTCAATGGGCTCAAGTATATTACGTCGACCAGTGAGACGCTTGAGATTCCTCCACAGTTCAGCAGAAGGAAAAGGAGAGGAGGGGGTGGATGAAGAAGAAAAAAGTTGACTAACGAATAAACCGTTAAGTCTGACAATTTCGTTCTTTCTTAAAACATTGATATCCTTCACCTTGTCACGCTGACCTAGTTTCCAGAAGGCTTCTTTGCGACGTCTCAAGTGTTTGAGGTATGGTGAGGAGATTCTGTCAGGCCTGACCATAACAGTTTCACGGGGACAACAAATATCAAAAATGTGATTCAAAAATAGCGTAAGATAATCAGAGCATAATTCAGCATTTTGTAGTGCTAGAAAATTTGGGATGGTACTATTAATTGAACTCTGCAGTAAGTGGATCTTATCTACGGATGTGTCTCGAACAGTAATTTTCCTTTCGGGTTTTGTAAGCAGTTGACGCTTAGAGGTGGAATAGACTTTTGGAAGTCCTAGTAGCACTGAGTGATCAGACCCGGAGAGTGGAGCTCTATTTTTAATACAAAAAAAGCTTTGGGTAATTGGTCAAGATGTGATCAAGAGGGGCATCAGCGCGTGTATTGAATGTAACAAGGTCATCAAAACCCACAAGGGTAATGGGTCGGAAACTCACACGGTTAAAATCACCGCACAAAAGAATAAGATGGTCTGAGGATAATGAAGCAAGTTTTTGTGTGAGGAAGTCAAAAAAAACGGCCCAGAGAGCCTTCGTTTGTGGAAGGGGGATGTACATACTGACAAATATAATACTCTTAAAGCTATTTAACAACTCAAGACTGCAGTCTTGATTGACAAAAATGGCCACTCCTCCCCCTCTACTGTCTGTTGGAGATGCCCCTGCCAGCACCAGCCGCGGCTGGCCACGCCTTGCCGCCGCGGCAAGACGTGGCTACGGCGCGGCCAAACGTGGCAATTTGGTGTGGCTAAGGCGCGGCCTTCGACACCACAGCCACGGCTGGCCCCACCATTCGAAAAAAATGCGTGGCGGCGCCCCCAGACGCCAAATATGCAGTAACTTCCGCATGACGCCCAGACAAACCAGGTGCATATAGTCCAGTGGGAAAGAGGCCACCATATCTATGGGTAAATCCTCGAACGGAGACCTGCCCTTGTGGTGCTGTTCCTGTTTTCGCAACCTGAATGACCTGTCGTCACGCAGACGCCCACTGCATACTGCAAACGTCATGCGGTTTGCAATACGTTTGCCCATATGGGAACACCTGCGGTGGTTATAGTTAAAAGTACGACGCAACATACCTGTCGCATCCGTAATAGCCATTGTGAGCTTTAACTCGCCGCACAAAACATCGGGCAGGGGTGTCGCAGATGACGTTGTCTAAGCTCACCTTGACGATATTTTGCGTATGTGGATTACGCAGACCACTGGCCAGGAGGTCTTTCAGCTCGCCAACACAGTCGCCCAAGAAGTCGTCCAACGGATCGGGTTTGCCGGGACCGCAGAACACTCCAACAATGAAGGGCTGACCAACAACCGGATGGCGAACACGAGCAAGAATCGGCCACAGGCCCTGACTCGACCCCTTAAATATCTTCTTGCCGTCGATATGCAGTTGGATGTGTATTTCAGGAACGGTTGCCTCTGGCAGACTGTGAAGTTGATCCACCAGACCACGCTCAAGACCTAAATGAACATAGTTCCCTTTGTTCAGTGGCTTGCTAATGCAGGTTCGAGGCGTTTGCAATAGCGTCCTTGGGTCTTTGGGTACTTCTGGGTGGTAGGGCCGCAGCATCCGAAACAACTTCTTGGTTGTGGATAGTGGCATTTGGGCCTCCAGGCAGAATTCCCGTAAATCCGCCAGAAAGCATTTGTCTGCGACCGCGTGCCCACTTATATCTACGGGTTCTAAAGTTGCTGTTAAATAAAACGGTAAGATCACTACCAGTGCAAACTTCTGGGACTAGTTCCGGCATTTCTAAATCCGGTGGTTGGTCTACCACCGACGACGTAGAGGGAACGGAGGGAGCACACATCCGCGCATAATATGCCTTCTTCTCGCGCGCAATCCGCTTGTAAATTGTGCTTCGGTGAAAGCCATAATACTTGCGTTTCATGATTACTGTCATTGACGGGTATAGAACAATATGAGAAAGTTTAACTACACTTGAAACGTTCACTGTGAGACTAAAATCCCTATATAGTTAATAAACCTACGTACATAACATGAAATAGAATAGTAATGACGTAAAAAAGATCATAAAGGCGCGATAGGCATGAGATAAACGTTGGACAACGTACCACTTCGTCGCGAGCGTCCGGTAGAGTAGCAGATAAATGGCGTCCAAGTGGCCCACTTAAACAAAAGTGTCCTAAACGGCTTATACGGGCAAACCTTCATCTCCCAAGAAGTGATGACTCAAAGCACTTTCTGAGTAAATAAACGCACACTTCGGTAAATTTGGAACATTCCAACACAGAAGACGTCGTCTAAGCGGCAGAAACGACTCTTGAAATTTCTTACAATATGGCGTGGCCATGGCCACATCCAGCCACGTTTGGCCACACCCACAAGGCGGGGCCACGTGTTGGCAGGGGCTCTATCATTTCGAAAACAACAAAATGTCGAAGGAGCGATAAGTTCCGAGTCAATATGGCTATTCAACCACGTCTCCTGAAGGCAAATTACTCCTGTTTTGCTATGTTCTTTGGTTGACAGAAGTAATTCCAAATCATGGGCTTTGTTAAATATCGATCGACAGTTAGTCGAAAGAAAACCCGGCATTGACAATTTGTTTTTAGGCTAGCGTTTAAGCGCAACTTGCCATCCACAGCGATGTTGCTTTCGAAATATTGGGCTTTGCTGATACGAGCGTGGGAAGGGCAGCGAGGAAGGGCGAGAAATAGGACAAGTTGTCAGAGTGTAACTGCTGCTGGCACTGTGAGTTTGTTGCGTTTGGGAGCGTGAGAACGCCAACGCAGGACAATCGCAGAAACGACAAATAGGCCGCAAAGTGCAACCACTGGAGTCATGATCAGGAGGCGGAAAAATCGATGCAGAAATTTCGTAGGGTTTAAGCTCCTTTAAAAAGGTGCTAGCGTACTGTAAAGACAACCTCATAGGAATAGATCAATTAAAACAAAGTAATAAGACTGGGGTATGCAATTAATAAATATTCATGTGACTGGAGGGAAAAAACAAAAAAAAAATGATAGTCCTCAGACCGTCCACCAGTTTTGTTGCTCGCCCTTGCAACTGCTCAATGGGGCCACTGTCTCAATTCACCCAGGACATTCACACAGGCATTCCACATTACGAATGATGTCCAACCAACGTACCAATGGCCCAAGCGAAGGGTTCAGAAGGAAAGACTACGAAAGCACGTCCAATCCAGTGGAGGCTATTCGTTGACTTTTAGACGAATATTCTGCAGTGTTCGGAGGGTAGCAAGTCCGAACTTAGCTAGGTACCTAGGTCCCTGTGGGTAACTACCTCTTCAAGTGCAATCCCATTTATATTTTACTGATGTTTTGGGAAACGTTTGTGATCAGCTTCCAAGCATAAGACAACATAATTTGATGCATTATATGTTAGAAGCCACTTAGTAGACAACACAGTCAGTTTATTAACGTTTTTTGCAGATTCTGTGAGTCAACAGCACATCTGACTGTTTTCCAGATTTGTTTATCATCGAGAAACATGTTCGCATCGTACTCAAGACCTTTACTGCAGTCGTTAATATAGATAAGGATGAATAGAAGACATATGACCAAACGCTGTGGGACACGCTTTCTACTGGTACCCGTTTGGATGTTGTAAAGCCAACAATTGATTCTCTCAGCCTTAATGACGGGAAGCTTTTAATGTACTTAAATTGCTTTCTTGGACTCTACACTACTAAATCTCTTGCAAGAGCCGTCGAAGAGGCACCCTATCAAACGCCTTTTTGATGTCGAGAAAGGTGACACCCACTGGACGGCCCTGGTCTCCGCTTATGCTCCACTCTTCCTGCGAGTAAAGACTACTCGTAAGACATGAATGGCCACGACGAAATGCGTGCCGGGCGGCACATAGTAGGTTTCTCTGCATCAGATACTTCATTAAATGACTCTTTATTAACCAGGTTAAACTAATGGGGCGGTAGGTTTCGGTCTCCAACCTGGACTCTCCCATGTAGATCGGGGAGATAAGGGTAGTTTTCCAATCCTCGGACAGATCATCCACCTTCATGGACTTTCGTAATGTCATCGAGACCGGTTAGAACAATGCGTTGGCCGATTCTCCACGTGGATAATTTCCCTCTGGACCAGGTGATTTGACAGGATTCAACCGGAGTAATTCTGTACTTGTCGATATGGTCGAGGAGTAAGGATTTTCATTTAATGCATATGATGAAAGATTTTGCTGTTTTGGATAGGGGAGAAAAGGAGGTTTTGATTCATGAGTGAAAACTGGCTGAAAGAAGCTAGAGAGGACAGATGTCTTTGTTTAGTCATCGGCCACCAATACGTCGTTTGGGACCTTAACGTCAGAATTGGGTCACGGTCTATTTTGCTATCACATATGTTGCCATATGGGATTTTGGGATGCAGTAAAGGACTCACGTTTACACACCCCGCTGTCGTTTATGTTCCTGCAAGTGTTTGGAACTCCCTGTTAGTTCAGAGGGCTTTCGCATCTTACTTCGCTTAAAGGAGATTTAAACTTCTCGGTTTATCCACTACGGACGTTTGTTGGTTTTCTTTCGTCTGAGTGGACAATTTGGATCAA